GCTTCAAAGGGAAAGGAAAGAAAGGACTCCAAAGCACACTTTACTCTGATTGGGCAGAAAAACACAAAGATTTTTCTGGCACCAATCAGATACCAGAACGACTGCGGCCGTTTGGAACTAGCCTTGTAAGACAATGTCCCCAGGGGCTCTTCTGCCCTTACTTGAAATCGACTCACAGCCCCTGGGTCTCCGAGGATGGTAATTCACCCGAACAATTGAGATATAAATTGAAATAAATGGAATACGCGAATCTGTAAATAAAAAAAGTAATAAAACGAAATAATAGAAATAATTAGATCCCTGACTACAGCGAAGTAGCGTTCGTTTTTTCAAAACACGCAACCAATAAACGATAGTCGCAATAAGAAGACAACGCTCAATGCCGTGACTCGGACACGCTCCCGTGACACGCATCATGTTTCCCTCACAAGACTTCATTATGACCCTTTGTCAATTCTGCCGAAAATTATAGCCCTGTATCAAGAAAACACTTATTAATAAATAATGAAAGCGGCAGGGTTGAAATTTCATTCGGCACCAGCTGTTACCGGCTCACTCTGGCTCGAGTGCAAATATACTCTAACACTCCCCCGATGTAGCTAAATTGTCATGCCGAAATTTCTTTCCGATTGGTCATGAACTTTTTCACGTCGCTTCGGCCAAAGTCTCACAACGCTACAAATAACAAAAGGACTATTGTTTAATACTTAATGTGAGAAGCTGAACCAAAACAGTAGACCATTTCTTGATAAGTGAATAAGGGGGGTGAGTTCCTAAAGAAACTGTGGTGCTGCGTCGGTGGGGGTAACAAGGTAATTTGGTATATCAACTAAGTTGAAATTGTAAATTGGCCACCGTAAAGAGTTAAAAAGCTGACGTTTCGAGCGTTAGCCCTTCGCCAGAGCGGATGACGAAGGGCTAACGCTAAAAACGTCAGCTTTTTAACTCTACGGTGGCCAATTTACAATTTCAACTTAGATATACTAAATTACATTTCTTGATACGCTCCACTCCTCTACTCCATTCCCATCGTTCCCTTAGTTACACGCTGCCCTGACAGGCATATCGAACTTTTGGTTAGATTCCGGTCTAACAGTAGGGCTAAAAAACGCACCATTTATAAGGTCATTTTCTTTGTTCGAGGGAAGTAAGCTCTTTTTTCAGGAACACGAAAGCTTGAAGTATGCACTCTAGGCCGAATGCCGCAGCGCGAAACTTGAAATCATCGGTAATGGCTTAATGACAAACTTAATCTGCTTCGGTGAAGGGGTAAGAAAGTTTTTGTCACCCGCATTTACGGTTACCATTACTATTGCACTTAAAAAAAAAAAAAAGTAGTAATAATAACAGTTAAGGACGGGTGGACACCACTTTTTATCAATTCCCTTCTAATTAACATAGAGAACTGCTCAAATAAAATGCATTGCAAATAGCAACAATGTTTTCGCAATCACATACTAAGACAGCAAGGTTTTAAAAGTTCATATTTCATAAGTACCATTAATTTATAGTAGTGTATGTAAAACACCTTGCACACAGCAAAGGTAAAGTGGTAAAAATAAATCTAGGAGTAGTAAAGCAGTTATCAATTCACTGTCGTAAAAAACCAAAACCAGAGTATCACAACAAAGATATGCGTCATAATTTAGCCAATGAGGATTCAAAGTGAAAGCAGGAAAACTATCAAAAGAGCGGGAAAACGCAGTGGCCCAAGTGACGATTGGTACTCGTTTGATACCTGATTGGCTTAAGGCATGGCGCGGTTTTTCTAGTCCAATCAAAGACCGAAGTCAAGCAAACCCGGAATACTTTCGGCATTCAATTGGCAACTGCTCTAAAGTTTAAAATAAGTGCATAAGCAAGTTTTTATATCACGATCCAATAACGGAAACCGTTATTGGATCATGCAGGCTAACTCTCCTTCCAATAAAAAGGAAAGATTTTTCAACGGCCTCCCAAAACAAATTAAGCTACAGTATCGTAAAATAGCATTTCTAATTAACGCTATAACCTCAATGGTCAAATCGTAAATTCCCCTGAGTAGTTTCCATACTTAGTTTTGTGCAAACCATAGTGAGAATTTGATAAAAGGTCGGAGCTCGGCCGGGTTGGTCGAAAGGCGGTTTGCTTGAATCTAGGATTGACAGTTAACTGACTCGGTTTTGTTTTCTATTCTCTGAAAGTGTATGACACGCTCAAGGCTTTGCGTGGTTTTCCTGTGAATGAAAACTGGATGTAATAAAATACAGTCAAGAAAAATCGCCGGAAAAGTCATTAATTTTATAGAAAAAATTACTTCAGCTCAGAGTTACCTCGATGGTCTTTTGAAAAACCCAGCCACGCACGGGGATCAGTCACGGAGTTGTCATGTTAACGTGAAGAGAAAAGTCAAAGCTAGTTACTCTTGGAGCTCTAAGGGCTAAGGTCGGTTAAGCGCCCGGTACAACTGATCTGGACAGAATTTCCAATATACGTTAATCTCTCTATTCTGCTTATACGGAAAGTCTGCCAGCAGATATCGAGGAAAGGAATCTTTCCGCTTAGAGCGTTTGAGATCATTAAAAACTTAAGAATCTGGAAGGATATTTTTATCTGAAATTTCAAATTTAACAATTTCTGGACAGATTTCCGGATAATTCCATACAATTCTAAAACAAAGATGTAGTCCTAAAGGCAATCTATTGTTTTCGAGAACTGTATGGCGCTTTGGGGAAATCTTACGCACTATTGTAATAACCAATTGACATATTAAAGCGTTTAAACTCATTGACACAACAGTTTGTTCTCGCATATATGAGGTTGATATAAAATTGACATGCAAAATCTTGCAAGCTTATCGTTTGCGTATGTTCCTGTGAAAAGCTGGCTATTAACACTTCTGAAAGTAGTAAGAAATGTCATTTGCAGACATAAGTCTTCATTTTGTTTTCTCATCTGCAAAAAAGAAAAAGTGAAGAAATAAACAAATAGTGAATAAATAACAATGATTCCGTGAAAAAAAAAAAAAAAAACGGTATGAGAAAAGAATAATTTTTTAGCCAAGAAAGATTGCTCTTTGTTCTCTTCATATCATTATTATTACTATCATTTGTTTGCCAAGGCAGAAAACTCCCCCTCCCTCCCTCTGTCCTCCTCGCCCCCCCCCCCAAAAAAGCAAATAATCTTTTCTCACCCAGGCTCAAAGACAATGAAATAAAGAACATTAACTTGTACAGCACTGTAGAAGGGGAGTGTAAAAAAACTAGATGAGGGGGGGCAAGTTGCCAAAGAAACTGTGGTGCTGTATCAGTGAAGGGGGGGGGGGCATCACAAGATCATTTGGTTTTATCAATTGATTTTATAACATAGCTTGTAAATTCGTGCAATCAAATTGCCCAATTCCGATATATTCAGGCGAGTAACACTGGTACCAAATAAGAGAACGAAAGCGAGGCTTGGGGGAATAGCGCGAGAGAAGTTAAAACTTACAGCCAGGAGAGACAGGAAGTGTTTTCGTTTTGAGCGTTAATTGTAGTCAAACGATGGTTAAATACTGTGCAGTTGCAGTGTGTAAAAATGGGAGCCATAACAAGCCAAATCTCTCGTACTTTCGCTTTCCATCCGATCAGAAACTACGCAAAAAATGGGAAACATTTTGTCGAAGGGCGGACGAAAAGTTTAAGACGCTTGCAGATCCTCGGGTATGTTCGCAACATTTTAGTAGAGAATACTTTAAAAGGACGCTTTCCTGAAAGATTGAAGTCATTTCTAGTGGCGTACCGACAATACTTGATCCGAAACAGCCCGCAGCAAAAAGTGATCCTCGTGAACAGAGGAAAAACGAGCGGGATCGTCGAGCACAACACTTGGCAGATAATACAACAGAGCTGCCGGCGAAAAGAAACAGGGAGACGTGCAGGAAGGTAAAATCGGTAGAATGCATTCATCAGCAGGGAACACCGGTGTGATCGGCGACCACGATTACACGGACCGATTCGAAAACGTGGACGAACAACACAGAAACGTGCTATGCCAGACGGAACTTACAGTGGAAGACCTCGACAAAGTGGAAAGGGGAATAAATCAGTCTTCAACTTCAATCCCAGCCTCCAGCCAAGAAGTTAAAGTTGGCGCTAATGCTCATAGAAGAAGAGAGCAAGTGGTTCAAGACGTGTTGAAATGCAATGCATCTTTAAAATTTTATACAGGCATTTCGTCTTCATCGATCCGTTGTAATTTCATTTCACGCGCCTTTACCGCGAGCGTTACCAGTTCAGCTTTACGTTTACTGCGTCCTTCATCACTCACCTGAATCCCTCTCTTTGTTAAATAATCTATTACTCAAGGAACGCTCTTCCCATCAAATTGTTCTTCCATTTTTTCTTGATTTCAACAAAGTTCCAAAATGCTTATGGCGGTTTACATACGAAAACATTATTTTTATATTTAATTTCGCCGCGCGATATTCCCCCAAGCCTCGCTTTCGTGTCTTTATTTGCTACCAGTCTTACGCGCCCAAATATATCGGAAATGGCTATTCAATAGGGCGAGCGTGCTTCNGTAGTACGGAGCAAGCGCACCGAGGTTCGTAGAAAAACGACCGAGGGTCAATATTTTCCAATACAGCTCAAGCAAGCGATGTTACTGAGTATTTTATCATGGCGTTCGGGAAAACCTCTTTAATTTTAATTGTTCGGCTTTTCCGAACAAAAATATACGGCTTATGACCGCTTCCGTGGAAATAGTCCGTATGGCAAGGTCCAGACCAAGTAAGAACTAATCAGAACGCTTGGATTTACCTCTACACTGATCTGCCATATAATTAACAATTATTCCACGAGCGCGCGTTGGATATGAGATGATAGATAGCCAACGAGGCGCGTAGCGCCGAGTTGGCTATAATCATCTCATATCCAACAAGCGCGAGTGGAATAATTGTTTTATTAAAAACGCCCCCAAGAAATTATTATTTTGTAAGAAGAAACTGGATTTTTTAGCTCCCTTTTGATCTTAAGCTGACGCGTACGCTTACCATATTTGTAGATTATGGTATATTGGCTGATATACCATAATGGCTAAGCCAATAAAAAGTCTTGAATTGCATTATCCAATGATCTAGTTTTTAATAATATAAATGAACCACCGGAAAGTTTCTAAAGCGGACGTTTTGAGCATTAGCCCTTTGTGAGAGTGAAAGGTTGACCCTTAAACTCCCAAGCTCTGATTGTTAATTCTCCCCTCTAGCTGCTACACATTTCTAAAGCGGACGTTTTGAGCGTTAGCCTTTTGTGAGAGTGAAAGGTTGACCCTTAAACTCCCAAGCTCTGATTGTTAATTCTCCCCTCTAGCTGCTACACATTTTCTAAAGCGGACGTTTTGAGCGTTAGCCATTTGTGAGAGTGAAAGGTTGACCCTTAAACTCCCAAGCTCTGATTGTTAATTCTCCCCTCTAGCTGCTACACATTTCTAAAGCGGACGTGTTGAGCGTTAGCCCTTTGTGAGAGTGAAAGGTTGACCCTTAAACTCCCAAGCTCTGATTGTTAATTCTCCCCTCTAGCTGCTACACATTTCCTTCGGTGTTCAATCAAGGCAAAACACTTCTACCTGATAAGTTTGAGTACTCTCATTACCTGTTTGCTGGATCATGTATGGATACTGTAGGGAGAAGTTATGGGTTAATCACTTTTGGGAGTTAAAGAGTTAACGCTTAAACCGTCAGCTCAGAAACACTTTACTGTGGTGAATTGTGGTCAATTTACGTTATCAACTCAATTAATAAAACAAAACTAGCTTTCAACTAATTCAAATAGTCAGAAAAGTGTTTCAGTTTATAGTGAGACAATTCTTACCCTTCAACTGTTGCCACAGGAGCTTCACCTGGTTCTGTAACGAACAGGGAAAGAGAAAAGTGTAAAAAAAAATGGGTATAGCCGTGCTGTGTGGAAAAGTGGAGGATAAACAATAAGGAAAGGACAGCAAAAAGAGAAACAGAGAGAGATGAAAAGCACGGCCGGAGGAAGAAGAGAAGGAAGGGAAAAGCAGGAAGAAATGGGGGGAGGGAAGAGAGACAAAGAGAAGAAGAGAGAGTGAGGAAAGAAATAGGAGGAAAAGGGAGAGAAAAAAGATGAAGTAGAATGTAAATAACAGGGAAAAGAAAGTTAAGGAGGGAAGGAGAAACAAAGACGGGAGGTTAGCACGAGGAAGAGACTAATAAGGCACAGTGGGAAATACAAAAGGAAAAATTACAAACGAAGACAAACGAAGACAAGCACTGCTCAGAATTTGCTATGGTCAGAAGCAATGCACAGTGCTTAAATAAAAAGTTTTGTGAAGCTGCACTGGTAGTTGAAAGTAAAATTGGAGATCACCCATTCAGTACTTTGAGTCTTCCAAGCAATAATTCAACGGAAAAAAAAGACAACAACTAATGTAAATATAACTCTGACTGAATCAATTTGCATAGGCTTCAGTTTAACCTGTCTTCTCAATTGTCTTTTCCTCATCTTTCTTTTCCTCGTCATCAGTCTTTTCTTCTTCCTCTTTGAATGGTACTTCGGGAATATCCTCTGTCCTGCGATTACCTACAAATTGAAACAAATTCAACCTAGTGTGAGTGAATTTAAGACCTTCCATACTTGACCCACCGAGCTGCAGCTGTAAAATGAGCAGCAAGACTTGTACCATTTTCTTCGCCCTGAGAAGCTGTAAAAATAACTCTATCCAAATCAATGTTTGGAAAACAATAAATATATTCTAAACGCAGTCATCAATAAAGGTGTTTTTTGTTGATATTTTGTCTCCTTTTTGGTTATTGGGTGATTCTTGTAATGAGTTCGAACAATTCAATCAACAACACGATCGGTTCGCTGTGCGCCATGTTAAATGGACAGAAGAGAAAGACCACTGACAAATCTGCCTCGATTACCGCTGAACTGTCTTCCGCCTACTTATGTCCTAATATAACCCTACTTCTGAAATTAATGAGGTCCCTGATTGTCTCAAAGCTCCAGTTGTTTATTAATATTTTTTTTTCCTTTTTTTACAGCTTACCATCAAGGACTTTTGATGAAAAGCGTTTGCTTGAAACTCGCTCAAAATCTCGGGAATTACGAAGAATCTCTTGGCTGTGACGCGCTTGATGCTGGGTGCGGCCACTGAGGAGAATCAAGAATTAAATGCACAAATATTTAAAAAAGACACAAGTATATTAACAAGTCCTTACAAATGAAAGTTATTCACAAAACTCTTAACAAATCAAATGGCCCCTTCATTGTTCCGATAACATTTTGATAGAAATGGAGAGTTAGACTGTAAGATTAGTAGGAAGGTACGCATAGTTTGGACAATCTGAAGAGCCTCCTCTTTCAAGGGTGTTCTGGGAAATGTCTTTGGCAATGATTTGTACAACGAAAATTAACTCTCAGAGGAGATGAAGAGCAGAAACGAGGCAATGGTGAGAGCCCTTGCCCCGCACTGCTGTGGCCTTAGTTGATTCCCAACCTGGGAGGGTTGAGGTTATGGTTGGTTCGCGTCCTCACTCAGAGTTTTTCCCCGCATCCTCTGGTTTTTCTCCCTCCACAAAAAACAGATTCCGATTTGACCTGGAAATGATTTACCAGAAGAGCCACCTTATGTTATGTCCACTGCTAAATTCCAATTAAATTCCCATGAGTGGAGACTGCATATTTCAAATTCAAAAACCAGACCTGTATCTGAACTTGGAACCAAGCTTGATGAATGCGACATCTTTGGGAGGAAGGTCGGCCTGTGACAGTCGGAAAAATGAATGGTGTTCAACTCCAACTTTCCAGAGTCGCTTGGTTGCCCTTAAGCTGCCCAGTTTAAAACTCAGCACTACTGCTGCGTAGTAATCACTCTGTGGGAAACAAACAAACACAAGGATTGGTTATTCTCTGTATAAGGTTCAAAGGAGCAATGAAAGAAGAAAACATAAAATTATCAGGAAAGAATTTGTTATCTAATGCCAAATTCTTGTGACTAACTACCAAGTAATGTGTAGCTGCTAGAGGGGAGAATTAATAATCAATCAGATCTTGGAAGTTAAAGATTAAGAAAACAATTGCACACACACACACACACACACATAGGTTAATTGACCACTCCCCATAGGGGCTTTTCAGGGCCCTGAAAGTAAGAGTTGGACTGAAACTTTTTAATGAATCAATCAAAGTGCAACTGGGCATGTTTTGTCTAGACATACGGCTGCAGTGCCTGCCTACATTTCAATTTTGATCAGTCATGCGTTATTTCAGTGTAGTCAGACAAAACAGCATTAAAGTAAAATTCTGTCAAACAAGTAAATATAAATTATACCTCACTAGCCGCTCTGATTGTCAGGGTAAACTTCTTCTTTTTGAAAGCAATTTTCACAATCTTTGGCCTGAAATAAAAACACAAGAGGGGAACACATAAAAATAATCAATGGGGAAAACAGAATTAGTAGAAAAGAAGGAGAAGACAAACCAGATCAATAAAGCAAGGAGAGTGAAACAAAACAGACAAACATGCCACACTCTATGGTAAAATAATGGAGGCAGGTTCTTGCCAGAAAGGCAATACATTGTATTTTAACAAAAGTTCCACAGATATTATTGCCTAATGACAATGTAGCTCGTAATTCATTGTCAACCCATACATCTGGATCAGACCTTAAACAAATCCAATGCTTCTTAGATAAATGTTACAAGTGGTAATATAGTTCCTGTCACTTCATTATTTCAAGCTTTCTAGAGACACAGCAGACAGAAAATTTTTTTATAAGTTGATCTCACTGGGCCTGCACCCTCTTTAATGCATCATTCCTAAAGAGCAAAATACTACTGCATACAATCTAAGTAGGACAGGGTACTTTCGCTCCAAAGTTAACACCCAATACTTCAAACCCATGCTTGTAAATTAGGTTAATTTTTAGTATGGTTTAGTTTAGTTTTAAATAATTATATTGTAACATAGGCCAATCTTTGGCCTGTGTTTTTATCCTTTCAACTGAAATAAAGACTATATTATAATTAATATTATTATTTCTACACACCAAACAAACTTGTTAATCAGTCTGTTGTTGTGGAAGATATGAATGCCCCATGCTGACACTCCAATAATCACTGGCTGTCCTTCTGCATCCTACGGCAAATTTAAAAGAAATACATCATGAAATTGAAGATCTTCCTTTTTAGTGATCATAAATCAAACCCAAACTGACTGTTTTATACACTGTAATGACACACACACGTATACTGGATGGAAAACAAAAATTTGACAAGAACGTCACCATGCAACATGATTTAGTAATTCCTACTTTTCATTTTTCTTGCAACATATATAACCAGGGTTCATGAATACACTTGTGACCAGTTAAAATTCCATGACTTTCCATGACTTTTTCCATGACCTTTTGAAAGATTCCATGACCTGTTTGCAAAAATTCTCACAATGCAGGCTTCTGTTTATTTCTAATGAAATTAAATCTGATTTTTGGACTAGTAAGTTAACTTTTCAACTTTGGGTCTTATTGCCTTTCACTCATAGAGAGCATATTGATTTTCCATGACTTTCCATGACCCACACCTAAATTTCATGACTTTCCAGGCCTGGAAAATCAAATTTTGAAATTCCATCATTTTCCAGGTTTTCCATGACATGTACGAACCCTGATAACAGTTGCTAAAAAGGATTTGGCTTGTAGAAGCTCAAAATGGTATCACCCATCCTTACCTTACCTTAAGCATTTAAAGGCCGAAGAGGAGGGATTTCATTAGAAACCAGCAACCGTTGAATCCCGATGGCTACTCTCCACAACAGAGCTGGCTACTTTGGCCATTCCACCTCCCAGTTTTTTGAAAAACATTCATCAATAAAGGTGATTTTGTTGATATTTTGTCTCCTTTATGGTTGCTGGGTGATTTTTATGATGAGTTCTAACAACTCAATCAACAACATGATTGGTTCACGTGCACCATGTTGAATGGACAGAAGAGATTGACTGGTGACAAATCTGCCTCAATTACTACTAAACTGTAATCCACCTACTTATGTCCAAATAATTATATGTCTATTTCCGAAATTAATGAAATTCCTGTGAGAGTGACCACCTTCTAATTTCTGCCAACAGTGTGACTCTTAAATCACATAATTATAAACTATTAGGTAATGAGAATAAACAAAAATTAATGCTCTATTTAAGAACTTCTGATTGTCAAACAAATTCTCCTTGTCAGTACCATAGGAAATGTAAAGAGACCAGTGTGGAGAAAATGCGTGCTGATGTCAGGGTGGAAAGAGTGAACTACAGTAACTTTAACATGGGAAAGGCACTTACTGCAGCCTGATGAAGGTCGATTCCATACAGGGGGAGTTTCCTAGCATTATCCAGATACTGCAGTTCTGCATCCTCAGGCATCATCCCTCTGCAAGACAGAAATAGACAATAACCTTATAACAGCTGCTTTCCAATTCCCCTACAAGTGACCAGCATCTAATACCTCTGGAAAGTTTCACTGCTGAATCCAATACTTAGGTCAAGAGAATAAAGAAAATGATCACCATCTAGGATAGGTTTTGATTGTTCAAAAAATTTTCCTTGTTGGCATCAAAGGAAATTAAATGGGAACATCAAAAAGAATATTATGCAGTAAAACAAATTTTCTCTCTTAACATGTTCAAGCATTATAAAGAGTTATTATAATTATTTCATTTATTCATGAACAAATAAATGTACATCACATTGTAATATGTAAAATCTAAAACCACAGATACATTGTAAAAAAAACATCTCCCTGTAGTAAACAGAAAAAATTGTTTTGGAAATGGACAATAAAAATTCTCCAGCTTAGAGGACATGTGTCTACAGGCATGTTCAATTGAAGTCAGGGATCAAATGAGATATGAACACAGTACCTGTGTTTCGTGTGAAACTGGTGAACTTTCTGCAGCATCTCATCTGGCTACAAAACCAATTCAAATTAAACACTTTAACTCTTATAAGTAATGAACCCTTTGACTCCCACCAGTGATCAAGACAGAATTTCTCCTTACAATAATTATCAATACAATATCAAGCAGACAAGTGATGAGAATAAAGAAAAAATAATTATTACTATCAACACGGGGATCATCACTGGATCCAATATCAAATTCTCCAAACTAACATTACAAGAACTTTTTTTTTTAGAATTTAATTCATTCACCACAGGAATGGCAGGAGAAAGGAACAAATACTTTCATCCCAATTGACACAAACCCCTTTGTACCCACCCATCCCACCCCAGGGGAGGACATCCATCGCACAGTAATCTCGTGCGTGGGAAATTAACGTCTCCTACCCCTAACCCTGCAAAATCCATTTATTCGGCCCTATCTGAGAAGACTAGAATATCTAACCATTTTTCGATGTTATAGAAAGGCAGCAAATTCTTCTCAATTACTTTGAGACCTTGAGTGTTGGTCCGGCCGGGGCTCGAACCTTCGACCTCCCACACATCAGTCCAGCGCCCTATTATCCATTGAGCTAAATGGGGGGAGGGGGGGCAGTAGACAGTGAAGAGAGTTACATGACATCTACCCCTGTCATCCATGCATTATCCAGCAAATACATATTATTCGGCAATGAGAAGACTCAAACTTATCAGCTAGGAGTTGTTATCTTGATACACAAGTCATGTAACACCAAATTACTGGGATTAGTTCACAAGGAAATGGCAGCTATAGGGGAGAATTAAAAATCAGATCTTTGGAGTTTAAGTCTCAATTCTGGCCAGAAACTTGAATGTGTTCACCTCTAAGTAGTAAGGGAGGTGTCACGCTACTTCACATGGGCTGTTGAAATTTTACAGCTCCTCTGAGGACCAAAGGAATTTCACTTGAATGTGTGGCTTTAGCTGGCAGCCACTCCCAGAGTTGCTTCTCTGTGGGTTTGCGGCTGCATTTTGATGTTTTTCTTGACTCTTCAAACGAACACTTCCCTGTATATCATAATATTCTCATCATTATTTTTATCTATACCTGTCTTGGGCAGAATTTGAATTCTGAAAGATAACCTGCACCATCTCCATGTTCTTCAGGGTCATAGTCTCCAACTTCAGCTACAAAAGCAGGTTTTAAACACACATTGAGCTTTACAATAAATTTATGTCTGATCTTGAGGGAGGACCGTTCGCAGGAGAATTGCATAATTGAATAAAATCTCCCATTCTGATTGGTCGACGACGCAAATGTGGAATTGGGAGTTGAAGACGAGGCTAAGTGATCATATTGTTTTGCATCTCTTGTTTTGCATCTCTTGTTTTGCACTCAGGATAAAAATAAACGACGTTACTGCCGTTTTCTTTTTTTCTCACTTTTATTCATTTCTGAGATTCAAGGAAAATCCATTACCCGACTTGTGAATTCTGCACTTGAAAAGTGATTAATTGCAATCATCACTCCGCAATTTATAGGATAGCAGTTTTAATGCACAATTTAACTCTGAACGTCTTCATCAGGTAATGAATTTTGGTAGGAGTGCAGTCTTTATCTACTCTTGAACAAAAAGTGTCCTTTAATTAAAAAGTCAAAATGCTAACCCCTTAAAGTGACTAGCATCTAATTTCTCCTTACAATATCACCCCCGAATCACACATTAAGGCCACAAGAATCAAGGAAATGATCACCAAACCCTTGATTGTTATCCTAATTGTATAGGTGGTAACTAATCTGAAATTGTCAGCATTGCTATCATTGTTATTCTTTAACTTAAAGTTTTTAAAACTTTCCTATTAAGAATTAATTTGGATTATCTAGTGCTATCCAAATTAATCCTTAATCGGACATTTTCAAAAAGTTAAAAAATAATAGCTTGACTGAGCAATGCCCAGTTGCAACTGATAAGCTATAGATTAATTAATAAATAAGGGAACTACATGGTTGTCCAATTTTGAAAATAACTGGACCAAGAAAATTCCTCTGACAGCCAAATTGGACTCAGCCTACAGCCCCGTTCAGTTTTTGCAGTCCTTGGAATTTTCTTCATCCAACTATTTCCAATTGGACAGCATGTAAATGTAGTCCTACTACACATACTAATTCTCCATGTGAACACCATAGGGAATGTATAGAGAACAGTATGGAGAACATACATACTGATATTAGGGTGTAAAAGGTTGACAAGAGCATCTTACCTTGCACAACAAATGATCCAAGCAGGGCCTGGATGGGGACGGAGCACTGTAATCTATGAGAAAAAAAATCAACTACTGATGACTCACAGTTATGTGCTTCATTTCACTTCATTCCACTAATTTCATTTTGTGTGTTTTAATTTTCTTCACTTATCACAATCATATTTCTTTACCAGAACAAAAGACCTCCTATTCTAAATGTTTGCTTTGCTGCCAACAAGAGTCTTCACAGCTCAGTTAGCAGTTGTACCCAATTAGTATCTTGGAGGCATGGGTTTCGACCCTGTTCCTGCCTTTATTTTTCAAGCTTATTTTTCTACACTTTTTCAATTGAAATTCACTTGAAAGGATGAGGTTTTGTTTTATCACGCACAGGTAAAAAAAAAAAATGCATGGATATTGTCTGTGGACATTATCAGTTCTAAGATGAAAACAATTTTCTGAGAGCAAAGCTTGAGGAGAACTGTGAACTTTGAGGACCAGATGCTATCCAAAAACAAATAGAAGCATATTTTGGGCAAAATAGAGGTTATTGCATTTATTACCCTTCAAATATTGCAGCATGCATGAAAAATTGCTTACAAACAGCTTACAGTTTGCTGCAAGGAATGTTTTCTTGGAGTGTCCTCTGGTTTGCCTTTATGAAGACACAAATATTTCCCTTCCCCTTTATAATATAATTATTACAGGATCTCTCTACTTGATTAAAATGTTAATAAAAGACTTATCGTAGTGGACATAAGGTTTAGAAATTGGGGAATATCACTTGGGTGATATCCTTGGATATCCCTAAGTTTTAGCTGGGCCAGGAATATTCGTTAACGTGATGCCCTTCGACAGTGATGCGCACAAGCAAAATTACTTGATGGGCCATAACCATAATTATTATTCAACTTTTGTTCACGACATGGAAAATCAAACTTGACAGACATTATACAAACACACAAATTATAATTCTTAGACATGCCTTTTCTTTCCACACAGATGCAGTCTGTTGCATAAACATGTAACATTATACATAAATTTAAAGTGCCCCTGAGATCAAAATTTTCGTACATCATTTTTTTCCATTATCGTGTTCAGTGTGTCTCCTTCACCTACTCTGCCAAATTTCAGTCTAGACCAAGCACCAGAAATATCTTTTTTTGGGCCTTTAAATGCGCAATTTCGCATTTGCCATTATTTGACCATGTTCTGGAAGTTGATCACAGGACTCAGAGGAAGTGATGTCAAAGGCTTGACGCGAAAATCTCACATTACTATTCTTACAAAAACTAAACAAAATGACAAGGCATCAATGCATAATTCAAAGCTGAAGTAATCGTACAGACCATGCTGCAGGTATTTCTCTGCATCGGAGCCTTGCCATAATAGATCCAATGATGTAGCTCAAGTTTTTAACAAGCGGAAATCTAGCAATGATAGGTGGGTACTTGGGCCAAACGCCCACTCTAGCGTGCCTTTGGCACACTATACCTAGGGGGGTTTGGGGGCATGCCCCCCCCCCACGAATTCTTGAAAATGCATTTTCCTTGATTTTGGGATCAAAATCAAGGGAATTCATTACTTTGCATACATGAAGTACAAATACCACTGGCCACTGAGTCTGCAAAATGGACAATGCAATGCGAATGATGTGATAGTCGCACTAAATGGAGTGTTTACAATCCTTTCAATTCAGGTAAGACAGCAATGAAGGTGTAAACCAACAAAATAAGTAAATAACAATCTTCTGACAACATTTAAAAACATTTTGGAGAAAGAAGTAGTGCTTTACAGCCTGAAAAATCGCGTTCACAGCCAGGTAATTTTCCCGGCTTCCAGCTATTATCTACATCCCTGAGATCAGAGCAGGAAAAACAGATGCAATTTGTGCGAACTTGCCGGGTAAACTTAAATCCTGCAGGAATATTTGTGATCTACCCCGAACACTTCTCCGAGGACTGTTTCGAGAGATCTGTGTTCCTTGAAGGATCTAGGCAAAGAATTCTGTCGGGTTCAGTGCCTACCGTTCAAAAGAAGGGACAAGAAAAACCATCCTAAGTGTGATCTCGATGAAAGTGAAGTCTAGAAACCTCCACGGGTTTTGTCACCTTTACATATGCGCTGATCAATATCCACCTTTAAAAACTCTTTGGTAGAATACCTTACACAAAGGAAAGTACTTGGTGAACATTGTAAATAAGAATGAAAAAACAGCTAAATTGAGGAGTGAGATTTCTGACCTCAAAGAGCTCACTTTTATACAAAAGAGATGAAAAATGTAATTGTGTGCTCGGACTCTACAAAAAGCTGGCTTTAATATCAGCGAAAGTACAACACATAGCTTAAGACATATAGAGCGTAGAAACACTTTAAAATGTAGGCTTGCAGCCAAAAAAACAAAAATGAAAATTTCTTTAAAAACCTTTCAAACTATCAACCATCTGACAGCCAAGTCATGCTATCAAAGGATCTCAAATTCATCCCAACACCCATGACAAACAAACGTGAAATCAGGCCAGCTTTTGCGAGATTTACTCACAAGACAAATGCGCCTCCATTACACCTTTCACAGAAAAAACAAAGAACCACTTCCATTTCATATCAAACTGAATGCCACCAGTTCAGTCTTCTATCGCCCTTCAGAGCTACTTGGAAAATTGTCATAACACAACTTGCAGACTGTATCTAAGCCAAAAAATACTTTGTAAGGCAATGAGGTTACGGCTCTAAAAGAGTTGAAACAAACTCTCCTTTAAACCTTACGGAAGCAACACAACAATAGTCATCATGAATAAGACAGAAAAACAACAGAGGCCAAACTGCAACTCAACAACAGAGTTCACTTCAAACCTCTCAAAGCACCAATAGTAAAAAACACGCAGGAAAGGGTTACTGAGATCATTGACCAAATGCATCAGGGCAAACACATTAATGGCTTAGAAATGGCTTTCGCAAACTCCCAATATCCACCTTGATACACAATCAGCCATTGCCGAGAACAATTTTTATATATCACTCAATCATTTCTTACAAAAAAGGCAAATCCCTTACGACAAGCAAAAATACAATTCAAAGGCAATAAAGCGATGCGAACACAAAAGCCACATGTGGAGTCCATGCCGTTCTATATTTATCTTTATTCGCATGGCAAAAATTCATTGTTTGCCGACTCAAAACTATCCACAGAAGCTTCAGACGATTTCTGGGACAATTATCGTCAGACAAATTCAACATTTCATGACTGACAACGAAACAGTTCTCAAAAAAGTACTATGTGTGATTCTCTTTGCAGCGAACAAAGAGAGTTGTGACAAAGCAAAGCATAAGTTTGTTGAGCCTTTGACGTCATGATGACGTTTTCTGCTGTACTATTGCGGGCTCGGCTGGAACATGTTTTCAGCAATGGTGGACCAGTTTTGGATGACATTGAAGCAGTAAAAATTGGTCATCGAAGGTTTGTTTTAAGTTTTTAATGGCAAAAAGGGTTTTAACTGGACCCAATTCAACATTCTGTAAAAAATCTGCCTGAAATAAAATGATCAATTTCCGTCTCAGGGGCACTTTAATGCTCACCTTCCTTTCAGAAGATCTTCTCTCAGTTGTAGAACCATTAAGTATCTAATTAAAACAAAAACAAAAAAAAATTATAATAAACATAATGGCAAAGATGCATGTATGTACATGCAAGTTTTGCAAGGAGAAGAGTGNAAAGAAACTGTTTGGGGCTGTGTCGGTGGGAGTAACGAAATAATTTGGATATATCAACAAAGTTGAAATGGTAAATTGGCCACTGTAATGATTACAAAAGCTGACGTTTCGAGTGTTTGCCCTTCGTCGGAGCCTTAGTCTGTGGCTAGTTGGCTACCTTTAGTGTCAAGCCCTGTCAACGTCTAAATGATTCTAATGGCAATTAATTACCGTGTGATGTCTTCCACAAGGGCAGTTGGGTTTGGTGGATAAAACTTGACAGCAAAGTAGAAGTGGTATGGCTCTGGGAAGTAACCACATTCATAAAACTTACAAGGTGGTTTAACATATACCGTAATATGCACTGTTATTTGCAAGTTATATTGCAATTTCAAGCTCCAAAGGGGCATGCAAAAATACAAGCAAAGAGCAAAATGTCTGCTACAGGGTTCGTAGTCACTTTTGACCCGTTAAAATTCCATGACTTTTTCCATGACCTTTTGAAAGATTCCATGACCTGTTTGCAAACATTCTCACAATGCCTGCTTCTGTTTATTTCCAATGAAATTAAATCTGAGTTTTGGACTCATCAGTTAACTTTTCAACTTTAGGTCTTACTGCCTTTCACTCATAGAGAGCATATTGATTTTCCATGACTTTCCATGACCCACACCTAAATTTCATGACTTTCCAGGCCTAAAAAATGAAATTTGGAAATTCTGCAACTTTCCAGGTTTTTCATGACCTGTGCCAACCCTGTGCTATAATTTTTTGTTAATTAAACCAAGATCTACTGCTACTTAGTAATAGAGTCGATTACATCACAAGATCACCAGCAGCAATTTTAAAATATTGTTACGCCACACGATCAAACATTTTTCAGAACCTTAAAAAAAAGAAATGTAATCAAAAACAGGTAGAATCTGTAGGTATCAAAGTCCACAAGTTTCAGCTGTATGAAGGGAATTCTAGAAATCTCTCTAATTTATAAAACACTTATCTCAACTTCAAACATAGCTAGTTCTGACAAAAATTTAAAACAACTTAACAATAACCACAACAGGTAATACCCTGTAAGTAACATGAAGTTATAATGTAAAAAACCTTACCATGTTTCAACTGTTTCTTGATGGGTCTGAGTGGATCAAGCCAGTTATACTGAAACCAAGAACATTACCTTATTATAATACATACATGGAAATATAATTATATAGATTCTGTGGGTTAATTAAATCAAACATTTGGGTGCAAGATGTTAGAAATTATTTTAAATTCTACAACTGATTCAGAGCTGTCAATTAGACCTGGTAGCCAGCCACATCTGCTACCTGCCTGTACTTCCACCTCATTTTATCCTAAGCACTGCAGCTGTAAATTGATCCAATATCATTAAAATATTACGGATTGCAGAACAACCTTTGTACCAAAGCCATTTCCCAGTTTCAAGTGGTGTTAATCCTTTTTTTATTGTTCAAGAAAATATGAAAATGACAAAAATTTATTTAATTTTTCCACCTTCGTTTTCATGGTTTTATGCATTTGAATTTGATTTTTAATAACAATCTAGACAGTTTAACCCCTTTGTGATATACTTTTTTTAATCCTGTAAGAAATTCTTTTTGCTCACAAAAAAAAAAAAAAAACACAAAAAAAAACATAGTTATCAAGTACCTGTCCATCTTTCTCATCAATGTATCGCAAACCAAAGTAGTCCTTCTCGGAAACTTCGATTTTCTCACAGACCTTGTCAAACAAAACTTGACCCTTTGCATTTTTCTGAAAATAAAACCATTAACAATCAGTGATTACAACAGGTTCATTTTCCACGACCCCTTGGAGGCACTAGCATCTAGTTTCTCCTTACAATATCAAACCTGAAATATCACACATTAAGGTCACGAGAGTACAGGAATCGATCACTTACTAATTTAAAAGAAGCTATGGATTGTTAAACAAATTCTCCTTGTGAGCATCTTACAAAATGCATAGAGAACAGTATAGAGAATATGCATGCACTGATGATTTGGGTGTAAAGTACTCTAAGATGATCCACTCCAAAATAATATTGGTCTTACAAGGTCTGTGTTTACAGCATTTTGAGTAGGTTGCCAAAGTACAGAATTAACAACATATTTTGGCAGTAAAAAGGTGAGATTCCAATCTTTACCATAAAAGTTGAATAAATGAATCAAATCAAATAGAATATTTGGTTGTAAAGAACTGTTAAAAAAAACTGTATAAAAAGAAAGCCAAAATGCTAACATGACAAAATGTGACCATACACGGAAAACGTATTTTAACGCTTATCTGTTCGACGGGAAAAACCATTAGTCATCCGTCAGTTGCCCATTAGAAACTTTTCACAGAAACATTAGAAGCGTAAACAGAACCATTAGCTTTAAACGTCACAGCGTTAGATCGAAAATTTTAGCCGTTAGCCGTTAGCATCAGAACGTCAGAGCGTTAGTTGTATCCGTTAGAACGGCTAGGTGAGGCGTTAGAAAAAATGTGACCCTCCATAGGACTTTAAAGCTAAAGGTGATAGCACGCTCACAACACGCTGACACGACACGCTTAGTATGTCCTACAACATGGATTATGCATAGATTTAACAAAGAAGAGCACACTTGTTTTGTTTTGCAAGACTTAACACACTAAATCTTTTGTTTCTCTTGGTGTGCGATCAATGGCACGCTTTACTGTGCGATCGATGGCGCGCTTAGTGTGGGATCGATGGTGCAACCCGTACGAAAATTCTCAGTGAGACACCAGCCATAAAAAATATGCTAATCAGCGAGAATCAAACATGACAAGTCATGGCGATGATTCGGCTGACACGAGCGAGACAAACAAACTAGAAATGAGCAAGAACAGAGCGAGACATGTGTGCCGCCCAGCATGTCTGATTGGGCCATATTCAAGCCCTCCCATTCGAAAATCTATGGCCAGACACGAGCGAGATTCAAGTCAAACAACAGTCCCCCTCTTAAAACCAGCAAGAATATAGCAACGAATGTTTTTCTCACTATGGAACGCTCATGAAACCAAACGTGGCTTATGTTTATTCCCAGCTGTAAGACACTCCAAACTTTCTGTGATATTTTAGCGTGGTGGAATACTTGGAAATGAAGGCTGACAGTTTGGAAAAGCTTAATCTTAATTTGGCGAGCGAAACTACAAAGACAACAAAAAATTTTTAGAAGTGCATAGTCTGTTAATATAAATACTTGTGACTTTAGCTTGCACCAGCATGTTTTTAGGTTTCAAATTATCATTCAAATTCATTAGAGTAAAATCTGCCCAAACACTGGAGCTGAATTTTGACAAAGCTGGTGCCTGGCATGGCTTGCTCGTGTTTACTTTGAGCAAACAACACTTTTGGTCATCATGCTATTCACCTGCTCAAAAAATATTCCCAAACTTTACCACGCGAGATTTGTTTTGCGTTCGTCCGAGAAAATATATCTACAACACAATACACAAGACTTGAAATGGTCGATGTTTATGACTGAGAAAAAGATCGAAAACAGCAAAGCACACCGTTGGGTACTGTAAATCCGACTAAAGACTACTTCTTCGAAGAAACTGCAAAAAGCAATGAGTTACTTTGACTTTGAAGCTGAATCTCGTCTTTTATGCTCGAAAAACATCAATCAATGGTGTATGTCAGAAGGTTGAAATAAATTCAATAAGCTTATGCTTGACAACAAGCAGAATCGACTATTATTCGTCAAAAGGCTCATTCAAGAATGGTTAGTAACTATGAATCGATCTTCATTTTAACCACTTCAGCCAGTCGTTTTTTAAATTTCTTTTGACATGGTGGACACACTAGCCTAATTTTTGAGTGCAATCTCGCAAGCTAAGTGTGTTGTGTCGTCTCACACAGTAGCTTTTGTTTTCGAAGGTTAACACGCTTCTATGTTCAACTGCTCACTCTACATTGTTCGACAGGTCACGCTTTTTTTGTTTTTAGTGTATTCTATGAAACAAAAGATTTAGCTAATGAAGTGTGCACTTGGACACACTTAAAGCATGCTAAAACTGATTTCCTCTGTTCTAAAGTGGAAGCGTGTTGTGAACGTGCTATCACCTTTAGCATCAAAGTCCTATGGAGGGTCACAAATCATACCTTCTGAGCATTAGAGCGTTAGTTGTATCCGTTAGAACGTCAGTTTCGTAAACAACAAACACAAAGAAATGAAAATAGCAAAATTTCTGAAACTCGTTACTGAATTCCTATAATTTTCTATACATGCTTCGTCGCCCTAGAAAATTCGAAAACGTCCCCACCAAGATAACGCTTTCGGGAAAAAATTGAAAGGACCGCTAAACATTTCGGCTAAGGGAATAGCTCATCCTTACTGTGAGCTGTTATTTTCAGGAAAGGCGAAAAACAGCCTTAAAAAATTCATTAGGCTCAAATCACTTCTTGGACGACCGAACAGATCAAATTTTTTTAGCGATTTATATAATTCATTTATATTGCTTTTAAAGTACACTCAGAAGCATAAATGGGGCATTTCAAATCATTTCCCAAAAAACGGTTTTTACATGCCCCTGACAAATCGACCTCTTGGCGAGTGGAGTGAGCTGGCTTTTTTGGCCATGAAGCGGCCGACCACGAGCAACAAAGTCACAAGAGGTTGCCACATGAAATCCAGCAAAGGACTTTTTTGAAAGTCTAGGATTTACTCAGGTGGGAATTTTCCCCTTAATTTAGGCATCGAAATGCATAAAAATAATGTATATTAACAAGAATAATTAAAGTCCTGGACATGACTCGCAAGAAATGAATCGATCTATGATACTAAATTTGCATAACGTTGTTTACGATATATTCATGCATCACAAATATCCTTCCTACTGGATGATTCAGTGATCATTGTGTCAAGCTATTCAATTTTTCTCGTCTTCACACAACATAATCATCATTTGACATTCTCGACTATAATATTGAACATTACTTTTGTCCAGGATCTTTTTTATTTCTGACGGCAGCAATGAGTATACAGCAACAAAGCGTTCAAATGCAAAATAATGTTGTCACTGAAAATGTGCGGCAGGAAAGTGAGGGAGTTTGTTCATATCGCCTTTCTTGACTTTGTTTAGATGTGCTTGTGTCCTTTCAAAAACATCCAAGTTTAATAATTGCAATCCGGCTATTTCCCTTTCAGCCAGGGCCATCAAACGCTCCTTGGTTGAAACAATCGACAATCGCGACTTTTTTTTTGAGAAATCTACATTTTTACCCATGTGGAGTTTACTATCATGTAAGATGGTTATTGTGAGATATTGGGCAATTCGTGAAAACCTTTTTGGTACACCAGACTAGCTGCATCTACTGCTTCTAACGCTTAAGTCGTCAGATCCAACGTATAGATCGACATTCAGCACTACAAACGTT